TTATAGTGAAGTCGCTGCTCTTGTGGACAATGAGTGTTCTGTACAAATTAGGGCTACTGCTGTGGCTGTAACTATGCTGATTTAGGCTAAGTGACCAAAGCCAAATGAGAAAACCTTCATGGGTGGTGAAGAGATAACTAAAGAGTGCCCAGTGCCCTGATGATCATAAGAGACAGAAAAAACAGAGGATCCCAGAGCCTGAGGGGGAAGAGGAAAGGAATCAATGGATTCCAGTGAATCTGAAGTGAATGAGTAGAACTCTCAAAATAGTTCTACTATTGGAGGGGCTGCATCCTTGGCTACTCTGGAGAAATAGGTCAGAGGTATTGTGGCCAGGCCAGGGTAAGGAAATTTAAGACCTACAGGCAAGAACCTATTCTCTCATGGGCCAGGAGACATAAACAAAGGGCTTGAGTTTGGTCTGTGAATTAAGCCAGGATAGAGCTAAGGAGACAGGTTTCCTAGAGGGAGCTAGATTCAGGGAACCAGGTCTGGGCAGTGTTTGCCTCAATTCCTGAGTAGGACAGACTGGACCTCTGTATAAGTTCTACATGTGCTAACACAGGCTGTGCCCTAAGAAAGCCTCACCAGGCACTTTGTTCAGGAACATTCTGAGCAACAGCTGCTCTCAGGGCTAGGCAATGAGAAGAATATGGTTGCTGAGGTCGAGAACCCATGATCTGATCCATGGCAGTGGATTTGGAGACTAGGAAGACAGGATGCCTAGTATTTTCTCGCTTATGCCAGGGTTTAGACTGCAGAGCTGGGGAATGTCCGGCCCATGGGCCATATAAGGCCCACAAAATCATTTGTTCTAGGTCTGCCAAGCCATTAGGGGTGAGTTAATTAAATGTTTGACCAAATATAGCAGGCTTTTAATTGATAATTTTATATGGCCCACGAATAATGTTATCCAAATATCCAAATGGCCCTTGGCAGAAAAACGGTTCCACACCCCTGGTTTTGAGTATGGGTTTAAGCACATCATTTCCCATTTCTGGGTTTTAATTCCTTTTTCCACAGGTTAATGTGAATCTCACTGAGTTGTAAGAATCAAATTTAGAGCTCAGGCATCAAAGTGCTTTAATAATGGTAATAAATGCTATTAGTATGAGTCATACTCCTTTACTTTCTGCATCACTCTTAATCATCTGGACTACAGGAATGACTACTGCTTCAGTAACATTTACTGAAAATACATCCCAGACTCCTCTCAAGCCATGAGCAGCATCCTGATGGCTCCAAGTTCTCTGTTAGAGATCTGGGGCCACATTATGAGCAGAAGAGAGATCCCTCTTGCAGGTGAAGTGGGGCTCAGACAGGGCTCCCCGTGATGCCACCAGGCTTGACTCCATGAGCGCTTTGCGTAAAAGGGGTGTCTTTCTCAGCAGTCAAATCGTTCAGAAGTATGAAATGGAGCCATCAAATGTCTTCCAGTTTCACTTGGGAGGTAAGAGGTTCTGCTGCAGAGCTGTAGCCATGGTCTTTCTTCAGAGTGGCTAAACCAAGACTCGGAAGCATAGGTAACAGCTAGCGTCAGACAAATGTTAACCTTCATTCAAAACATCCTGGTGGACTCAGGGAAGGTGGTGGGTAAAATGCTCCTGAGATCACAGAGCTCAAGCCACGAGAAAACCCATTCTGGAACTTTCAGATCTGCTTTTAGCATCAGCTCACTTCGTACCAAGTCTAGGTACTTGTGCACAGCAGCTCTGCTGTAACCACAATCTTCCTTGTGGTGACATAAAGCCAGTGAGCAGCTCAGAGCATGAAAGAGTCCCATGGAACACGCAGAGAGGTGCCTGGTGCCATAGGTTCCCCTGGTCTGTGACATTCAGATCGGCTTCTGACTTCCCTGGCACTCAGGCCAGTACAGGCTGAGGAGTGGGCTGGAGGCTAAACAACCTTATCAGATAAAGAAAACCAAGGCCAAACTAGGCTCCTAAGACCTCTCCCCACCAAGGCCTCAGGCTACTTCAACGATTATAAAGACAGAAAAATCCAGCACATGAGAGGCCAAATGAAGTATTGCCCCCTCCACTGCAGTCCACAAAGAGAGAAAACTTATTCATCCCTGTGTTAGTGACTAGGTTAAATTTTCTCTGTGCTTTGGTCATAACATTGCCAATAATCAACTGTATAACTTCCTGGATGGGTCATTTAACCTCTCTGTGTCTCAGTTTCCACATCTTTCAAAGGGGAGCAAGAGAGTGGCTTGCTCATAGTATTTCTAGATAAACAAAGAGACAAAATGAATAATTCATGTAAAAATCTATAGAAAAAGCAGAAAATGGTATACAAAATATTATCACTTAATGATAAGATGCTCAAAATGTTATCTTCATACCCTCTACCCTGCCCAATTCCAGGCTCAAGGCAATGACTGCCCTCAAAAAGAAAGCCCTTTTTCCTATTTAAGTAGCTTTGTATTTCATTAGGACTCTCTCAGTCAAGTGGATCCAAAGGGTCCTTTGGGCCAGAATGGCAACCCTGATACTCCTTTTTCCGGGAGTTCAAGCCATAAAGAAGTCTATAAAACATCTGAAAAATTTTGGGTCCCCCGCCCTACAAATTTCTGCATGAGCCCAGGTTAATAAGGGCCATGGCAGCTCAAAATGAGAAATTAAAGTTCCTAGGACCTTCACTAACCCCATTACCAAGCTATTCGTGGCTCATCTCCTTTCCTTCCTCTGTCCTGTGTTTAGGAACAGAACTGAGACTCATTAAACAAGATGTGACATTTTCTGCATGACTTCTACTATCACTTGAACACAGGAAATTCCCATGCTTCCTTCTGAACTACTGACATCTACAGCTACCTGCCTTTTGCTCATCTTCTAATGCAGCTTCCACAGAAGACCATTAACAGTACAAAACATAACTTTTTTCTCCCCCCAAATATACCTTCTTCCCATGCTCCCATCTCAGTGAAGGGTAAACCAGGGGGACAAAACAGACCTAGGTGTTAAGCCAAAAGACTTTCTTTCCCTCTCTTCCCATCGCTGATCAGGCTCTGAATACAAACAGCTCCTGTAATCTGCTTTCTTGAAGCCCTTGTTTCCTCTTTAGCCCCATCACTACTGACTTCATTCAACTTCTCCTATTTCTCCTCTGTACTATTTTGGTCTCCCTTACTGCAGCTAAAGTGACTTTTCTAAAATTTCATTCAAACCAGATCCTTCCTTGCTAGAAATTCTTCATTCACTCCTCACCAACCCACAAGACTGGATGCTGACTCCAGAGCTTAATTCACAAGGTCTCAGACTCTGGTTTCACTCCCATCCCCCAGTACATCTCATGTTCCTACCAAGCCAAATTATCTGAGACCCTCTAAGTGCCTGAGGCTTTCTCTCACTTCTGGAGCTTCCTACTTGCCATTGATTTTTACTGTTTATTCTAGCCCCCCACCCCTACCTCTTTCACTAGCCTAACTTGTCTTTCAAATCTCAGCTCAAAATCATGTCCTCTAGGAATCTTCTCTGAACAGTCCCTCTCCCAGGGCTAGGTGTTCCTTCCATATTCCCCAACAGTTATCATGGCACTTTATCATAATTGATTGTTGTTGCTTAACTATCTCTCCCGCTAGACCTTAAGCTCCAGTGTGAGACTATTCACCAATGTGTGCCTGACACCTAGCAAAAATATTTAGCACATACTAGGAGACTATATGTATGTGTGTGCGTGTGCGCGTGTGCATATATATATATATATATGTATGTATTTATTTTAACATTGAGTGAATAAATGTTTGGATGGATAGGCAGTTGGCCTAAGTATAAGAATTTAAGGACCCAAGTAGTATACCCCTAAGAGCCACAAAGGGTCTATTTACAGCATCTCTATGGCCTCTAGGCCAAAGCATTTCAACAGGTAGGACAGGACAGGCATAAACCAAAAACCATTAATACAAGAGACCTATCCAGACTTCAAGAGTCACCAGGGATTTCTAAGTTAACATTTCATTTTGGTCACGCCTTACTTTTCTAAATTCTCAAATATCACTGAGATAGATTGACCTAAGCATAGATCAATCACTGGTGCTAAGCACTGATGCTGCTAGGGAAACATGGTGAGGAGGTAGGTACACAGAACAACTAGTGAACTGGGGCAGAGGGTGCAGACTGGAAGGCTACAGAATAGCTGACAGAGCTTCAGGTGCAGGGCTGAGTGGAGCACCAGGAGGGCCAAGGGCACCAGACCAGAGAAGGCAATAGGTAATATGAAAAGGGCCAAAGTACATAGGGAGGGCTGAGTGGAGGTCATGGCACAGTACTGAGGTTTCAGCTAGGAGGATTGCGGGCGGGAGGTGGGGTATAGGACAGTAAGAGTAGGACAGCTGAGAAGTTGTGGGGTTCAGTAACTGACACTTCCAGCCAGCAGGGAGGTGGGTGCACAGGGAGGGCTCCAGTAGCTGATCTTTAAGAGATCTCAGTGCCCCTAGATGCTCAGGACATCTCTGTACTCATCTAACAAATTCCATTGATTCTAATTCCAAGGCCAATCAATGTTGGGTTGTGGAGTCACATAAAATATTTTCACCATTTCCATTGCAGAGAGTTATGTTCAGGCTTTGGATTCTGACAGATCTCATTTTAAATAAAACTCAGCCCTTTTATCTACTAGCTCTGGGGCCCTGGACTTCAGTTTCCATAGCCATAAAATGGGGATGCCCACCTCACAGAACTGCTGGGCGGGCTGAGATGCTTGTGAAGCACACGCACAGTTCTAGGCACAGAGTAAGTTTTCAGTAAACTGGCTCTTCCCTTTTCTAAATGAAGCTTAGCTGGTCCCATTTTAAGTATCTATGTGGGGGTGGCAATGGGGTGAGGAGGACTTATGTTGCTGACTCATTAAGACAGAAGGCATGAGTCAGGGCTGTGTAACATCCAGGGATGGAACAGGGACACTCCTCCCCCCGCCCCGTCCTCCTCATCCAGCCCCCGGGGGTCTTGGCTACCAGTGGGTCCCACGTGGTTAGGAAAAGCAGGCTCTGTTAGTACCTTTCTCACCACATTTGGAGAGGAGTGCTGGGCAGTGTTGTCCAGGGAGGGGACACTGTGAGGGGTTTCTTCCCCAGATGACTGGGGCAAGTTAGCAGCAGTATTCTTGTCAAGAGAGAGAGCTGGCTTTGGGACTTCAGATGCTGGGGGCTCGTCTGTAGCCTGTAGAAGAAAATAAAAACTTGGGTGGCTTTCACTGCAGAGAGTAGCTGCAGCAGGAGCGGCAGGAGCAGCAGCTGCACCCAGGGTTAGTGCCCGCCCTGCACTCCCCCTTACCACCACTGTGAACTGCTTAAAATTTTTTCAGAAAGAAAGATACTCTTATCTAAACTCTTCCTAAGATATATCCTAATAACAGTCTTAGGATAAAACCCCAGGAGAATTCTGAACTAACTCTGTCATATTCGCCTTAGCAGTCATAACAGTTATGACTTACATTTAACTTGTGGTCCTCTAGGAACCCTAGACCCTTCACTGCCATGATGAGGATTAGTCTATATCCCCTCGTAGAAACTGACCTCAGAGGAAAACTTTGAAACATGGTCTAAAAGTTGAAAGTACTAAGTATTAATTTGAGGCCTTATATTTTGTAATAAAGTAAAAGTCTATAGAGCTGCTTTGAAGATATAACTGTGATCACAGATCTAAAGGAGACACCACTATGGGAAAAGTGAGTAGAGAGAAGGGGGCTGCAAC